CACTGGAAATGAAAATTCCAATCTATCACAAAGATGCAAGAGAAATAAAGTGTAACTAAAGCTGTAAAAACTCCCCAATTGACTATCTTGCTCCTTCACACAACAATGTCTTCAACTGAATTAGATCTAAAGATTCAATTACAGTTCGTTTCTTCTACATCATCATTCATCAGCTTAGACTAAAAAATTCCATCATTTTCCAAATGACATTTCAATTACCAATTCAGAGGAATGTACAAATTGTGTAATTTCTGAAAGTATAGGCTAGATTAGTTAAAAAATTGAAAACTATAGATTTTTTTCGTACTTAACATGAATGGTTATACATTTCATCCTTATGCTACATGATGATTTGAGAATTGAAACTCAATCCTTTATTTAGAATGGGTGTGCTCTCCAGTTGGTTCCTAGTGACCTTAACACAGTTTCAGCAGTCAGCATCCACGACTCCATTTTTTTTATAAAGGTGATGGTCACCAATCACCATGTTAAAAATTACAGGACATCCACCACCAAACTTATAAATGGAGGTCAAAGTCTCCAATTATCATATATGTATATAACTTGTGAACTAAATATACTGTTTTCCTAATAATACGGAGTATATTCGAAAAAGTAAGAGGAGAATAAAAATATTCCATTAAACCAGCTCAGACCATGTGCATTCAAGTGAAGAGAAGTAAAAAAGGCAGAAAGACTGCCAACGTTTGCACGTCAAAGCCAAAAGACTACACAAGCTCATATTTTGAATGATGTTATTAACAAAATTCAGAAGAGTCACAATTTGATTGCAGCATTATTGAATATGTTAACTTACAAACCTGGTAATATGTGAGACACGAATCTGATTTTGGTTCTTTTCTGAGGCCATCTGTTCCAAGTCTCTCAGAGGAGCTGTCAGACTTCTCAGCAGTAGATTCTTTGAGAAAATCTTCTAACCGGTCGCTTCTCAAGTAATTAACTACAGACAAAGAAATCACAGGTAGAGCTACAAGCTGCTCTATAGCAGAAAAACGGGATTTATATTCATCAACTAAAAGAGTAGAAGCCATCTGCGGGAAAGCTGCTAGCTTTTCATCACATGCATTGTCAACCCATGGGCAAAGCAGTTTGTGCCCACTGTCCAGTTTCAAGCTGAATACTGATGCTGCTTTATCAACTGTCATCTCCGTCAAAACATAAACAAAAAAAATTATCAACGTTAGCTTAGAATTTAAATATTTAACAATACTTTTTTTGTAATAGTACTTCACTTTATCAACAAGGGAGGGGGAGGGGTAGCGCAGCTTGCCTTGTTGTCGGCTCCAAGATGATGAACACGAAAACAAAAGGCGCACTCCACATGCTTCACATGCAATGGTATCCATATCTATGTTTATCCAGCCCCTTCTAGCACAGTTTAATGCACTTATCACCTGTTATGAATTGTAATTACTAAAGTTAGCGCATTCATCTTTGGTTTTAAGACTCTTGATCTCACAGAAAAGTTTATAATACAAACAGCAAATTGAACAAGTGTATCTTTACGACTCTACCTAAGAAAAACAAGCAGAAAATGACAAAATAAATGTATCTCAAATAACTCAAATAACTACATTGGTCTTCATGGAGAATCATAAGAAGAACATAAGATTTACTGAGAAAAAGAACAAAAAATTAAGATAATGCATTGACAATTTTCTTAGAAAATTAGCTCCATAAGTTTAATAAAATAAATTTAAAAAAAGACTAAATAGTGTTATGCCAGGAAACTTGAGAACCAACAATTCGTTGAAATTTCAACCGCACAAAAACCAGATTTAGCATTAACCCAATTCATGAAAGTTCCATTTTTATTATTAAAAAGGGACTAGTCTTTCCATGTTGACATTGAAGAGTCTTTGGTGTTCATAAGGTCCATGCTCAAATTTATTTTCTTCTGCAAAGCTCAAGCACTGGCTAGGTGCCAGTACTTCTGTGAGTAAAATGAATTAAATGTTTTTTCGTACATCACGAGTAAAATTACAATGAAAATTGGTATTCTTTAACACCCATATCAGGGAAACAAAAAACAAGAGCTACTGATGCACATGTTCGGGAAACCATTAAGTACTACAATAATAAGCCCCAGTTTTTCTCAATACAATAGAGAAGAGTAAGTTCTAGAATTCAACCTGTGGTTTTCCAAACCAGGACATAGATTTGAAAGTGGCCAGCCTCCTATAGAAATCACCTCTGTCCCATGGTCTGCAAGGAGAGGTATGGGCTGCTCCACCGGAGCCCCTCAAATTGCTTAATCTTTCAGCAGATATCGATCTCGGCTCAGCCACCACTAATTCGTGGGAGGAATTCAGCCGCTTCCTGCCTCTTGATAGCGTACCTCCTGATGAACTAATTTGGCATAAACACAAAAGCAAAATAATGCCATCACAAACCCATCTTAGTTCAGATTAACATACTCAAAACTGAAACAATCTAGCTAACCAGGCTACTTCATACTAGCAGATGCGATTGGAAACTAAATGAGCAAATTTCAAAGCTGAATTGACTCGAATTCATGACGTAGTCTAAGAAAAACGGGAGAACGATTTAGAACCTGTTAGAGACGGGTTTGGATATGGGAGGAGCCCGGAAGAGTTTGTCCATTACCGCATTAAACCTCTTCTCTGCATCATCGCCCATATTCTTCCGCTACTCTCTCTCTCTCTCTCTCGCTAATACTATACAAATGTACAGAAAGGATTCTTCGCTTCGGTATGTATAATAGGGTGCAATTCAAGCTACACGCAGCGCCATAGATGTATGATTACGCGATTCCAGCTCTCGGGGGAAGCAAAACTTGGGACGGATGCAGCTGAGTGTAGCCTAACGGTTTACGATTTCAATCTCATCATCTCACTTTCATTAGCATTCACATGATTTATAACTCCATAGTCTTTGACATCACATTCAATGTCACAATGACTCACACCTATACTAATCTCCTATCCACTGAGTCCCTAAATATATTAGGGAGTATAATTTTTTTTCTGATCTCAATAACTTTTGTTTATTTACGCAATTTCATTAAGTATTTCTCTCTCCTCTACTCTCACTTTCCTCTCTCTTGTTGTAACTGGTAACGGCTCTTCCTCGGAGTAGTCGCCGGCGCGTCGACCCTCTGCTTCCGTCCTCCCTGCCGGCGGTTTAGACGGTCGTCGGACGGCGGCGGGCGGCGGCTAGGAACACAGGTAAGTACAACCCCAGATCCGACCCTAGTCGCCAACCCCCTCGGCGGTCGCCGCCGACCCCCCCCCAGCCCTTCGCCGTCGACCTGACCAAGCTACCCCCCCAGCCCTT